TATGGATCTCTTACAGTCAGCTGGCCAAGCGTTTGTCTTTCCGATTTCTTGGTGTAGCATGGTGAGCACATCCAGGGCTGCATATCTGCTGAAATATGACATTAGTATTCCATCAAAAATTCCTGGGGCCTTGTTTTTGTCAACTTCTTCAGAGCACCTTGAACATCGTCCTTCATCACCACTACCTCTGAAATAGGAATGTATCAGGGATGCGTCCTGCTCCACACCTTTTCAATGTGTATGCAGTACAGACCATGCAGGAGGCTGGACTTTATGAGGAGGAGGGTGACATGCAGATTGGAGGAAGACTCATCAACAACCTGCATTAGACAGAGGACATAACTCTGCTTGCTAAAACTGAGCAGAGCCCGAAGCATTTGCTGCAGAAAGTCAAGGGCTGCAGTCTTCACTATGGACTGAAGCTCATTATCAAGAAAATAAAGATTTTCACCACTGGGCCCATTACCAGCAGCATGATAGATGGAGACGAGATTGAGATTGCTAACAATTTCAGCTAGCTCAGATCCACAATCAACCTCTTGGCACCAGCAATTCAAGAAATCAAAAGATTACTTACATTAGGAAAATCTGCTCTCTGGGACCTCTCCTAAGTGCTAAAGAGCAATGATGTCAGTCTGAGACTGAGGTATGCCTGACTTAGGCCGTGGTCTTTGCAATTACTTGCTATGCATCAGAGAGCTGGACAGTGACCAAAGATGAAAGAAGAATCGATGTCTTTGAAGTGTGGTTGCTAGAAAAGAGTACTGAACACACTACAGACTGCCAAGCAAACTAACAGGACTGTCTTGCAGAGGGTGAAACCATGCTGCTCCTTGGAAGCAAGGATTTTGAGGCTCCTTCTCATGTACTTTGGGCACATGGCGAGTCCTTGGAAAAAGATATCATGCTTAGAAGAGTGGAGAGACAGCGTAGGAGAGGAAGACCCTGGATGAGACGGACTGACACAGTAACTGGGGTACTGGGGTAGGCATGTCAGAGACAGTGAGATTGGCTCATGATAGAACAGAGTTCAGAGCTATTATACACATGGTTGTTATAAGTTGTAGCCGACTCGATGGCACAAAGCAGCAACAACAAGTGCTTGCTGCTTTCTGCATCTGTTGGCTGGGCATTCCTCGGAGATTCCCACGGGTCCTGGGGTTCCCTGATGTCTAGGAGTTTCCTCGTGTAGAAAACCACATCTAAAAGGACACACTCCACTCCTGGAGCCTCCACCTGGTGCTCCTGATGGTCTCCCCCTCTCAGCTTGCTTTCTTCCTCTTTTATCTCTAGTGAGATAAAGGGTCTCACAAGCCATATCCTATAGAAATTCCCCTTTTACCAGACTAGGGCTGTCATGTGGCATTCCACACATGTGGCATTTCATTCATGGGGAATCATTACATAGCTTCCACATCTTATTATTATATATGAGTATTTTTGGAGGACACAATTCGATACATGACAAGTAAAATTACAGGTAGGTTGGCAAACAAAATATAAGACGTTACCCCTTAAGAAAAATTGGAAGAATCTGGTCTGAAAAACAATGTATTTAAATTCTGTAAATAAGCTAATAAAAAATTAAAAAAAGAAAAGAAAAAATTACTCCTGAGACGGATAGTCCATTTAAAAGAATCATTTATATGAGACCAAAATGTCAATAATTTCACTATAGCAAAGATTACAAAGAGGAGTCCAGGATACCAAAGCACCGGAGTCAACAGAACGCAAATAACAAGAAAACTGACACAGTATGAAAAACATAATTTGAGTAAGTGAACAATCTCTATAGGTGTTATTAAATGGGAACTCAATTTGTATGTAAACTTTCACTGAAAAGACAGTAAGATATTCTTCAAAAGAAATCAAATGACATGTTGTAATGGGTAGATCTGCTGCAAATGGTCTCTTTAATGTGCTCAAAAGCCAAGACGTCAAGTTTGGTAACTAAGGTGCACCTGACCCATGTCATGGTATTTTCAATGGCCTTATATGCATACAAAAGTGGGGCGGTGAAAAAGGAAAAACTGATGCATTTAAATCGGCAAACAATACTGCATAGACCACTGACTGCCAAAAGGATGAGTAAGCTGTTCTTGGTAGGGAACGGCAAGATTTTGTCTCTCTGGACATCATGATCAGGAAGGACCAGTTCCTGGAGATGACACCATTCTTGGTAAAGCAGAAGTCATGCAAAAAGGAGAAAGAGCCTCAAGGAGACAGAATAATGCAGTGGTCCTAACAGTGGGCTCAAGTAGAGCACCCATTGTGAGGTTGGCATAGGACCAGACAACATTTGTTCTGTTCTATGCACAGAATCATTATGCGCTGAAGCTGACTTAATGGCACTGAACAACAGTCTATTATATTTTTAAACCACGTATGTTGCATCCATTTCTATACTTGACTAATTGATAGGTTAGTATTTCCTGTCCAAACGCCTAAGAGTAAAGTTTATTTTTAAAGTCACTCTTAAGTACCCAAGATAGTTTTCTACATCTTCCTCCTTCAAAAAGAGAATAATTCATAAGCCACTGCTGTGGAGAAATGGCCGACTCCCAGCTGGCCCTGCGGGGGGGTTTTCAGAGGCTGTAAACCACACAAGAGGAGACCGCCCATCCTTCTCCCAGCACCTGGTGGATTCAAATCAGCCACCTCGGGGTTAGCAGTGGGACTCCTTACCCACTAGGCCACCAGAGCTCCCTAAAGAGAGAACAGTAGATTAAAATTAATGAAATTAGAGAAAGTGACACTTTCTATAATACATTATAAATCCCAAAACTCCACTGTAAACAGGGAGCAGAGAGAACCCAAATCCTCAATATTAAGAAAACCATTCTGGCTTTTCCACAACATAGTTTTATTGGGATTTTGTTCCTAAAAATACAGTACTTGATAACATTTCATGAGAATAAATAATGCAAAAGCTGTTACCATTCTTTCATTTCTATTAAAAAACTTAAACATCCAATTCTGCAGCAAGCCTTTCCTGACTAGTCGAGGATTAAGATTAGATAAAAAGAGCTCAGCTCACAGCCATCCAGTCAGAAGGATTCATAGCTGATCCTCTAAGCAGGTTTTTAGAGGCAATAAATTGTGCAGGAGAAGACTGGCCATTTCTCTCCCAAAGAACGGCTGGTGGATTTGAACTTCATTCCTTGGGTTGGCAGTGCAACTCCTTACCCATTAGGTTACAAGAGATCCACTGATAGAAGCCATATATTTTCATAGAAATAGGGCATTTATTAAATTCACTGCCATCAAGTTGATTCCAACTCTTAGTGACCCTCCATTGGGTATCCAAGTTTGTAAATCTTAATGTCTATTTAATGCCCAAGGGGCTGCTGGGGGAACCAACATTCCAGAGACACTTCATCTTTAGGTTGTCAACATGACATATTATAGACTCTCTCACCAAAGCTCCTACTCAAGGTTTAAGATGTTGTTGTTATTATTAGGTGCCATGGGGTCATTTTCCATTTAAAGCAATCCTATGTAACACAGCAGAATTATGTCATTGATTTTTCTAAGCTGAGAAAAGACTGGAACTGTCAATTATTTTATTTTGCTTGGATCCACAATCACCACCCAAGGTAGCAGCAGTCAAGAAATCAAAAGATGTGCTGCACTGGGGAAATCTGTTTTTAGGAGTAATGATGTTAGTTTAAAGACTAAGGTGCACCTGATCCAAGCTACGGTATTTTAAATTCCTTCCTATGCATCTAAAGATTGGTCAATGACATAAGAAAACTTAAACAAAGTCTGTTCGGGAGGAAGTGTAACCAAGGTGCTCTTGGCTGATGGTGCAAGGATGGTGCAGCCTTGTCTCCCATGCATTTTGGGCATGTAGTATGGAGGGGTGAGTTTTTGGAAAAAGGCATCATGTTGGAAAAGTTGTAGGGTCAGAGAAAGAGAGCAAGACTGTCAACAAGATGGACTGTCACAGGGACAATGGGCTCAAACATTTAAAGCTCTGAGGATGGCACAGGATAGGTCAAGGCTGTAATCTGTTGTTCACAGGGTCACTATGAATGGTAGTCAACAGTAGGGCACCTAACAGCAATAGCAACAATCGTTATGGATGCAGGTCTACTGGTATTTCTTCCACAGAGCAATTGTGGGGGTTAGAATCACAAACTTCTTGGTTAATACTCAAGTGCTTAATCATTGTTCCACCAAGGCTCCTTAGGGTTTAAGATCTCAACTACGTATGCCTTACAGCAGTAGATTATCTCTTGCTGTACATTAGAGAGCTGGACAATGAATAAGGATGAATCAAGGTCTTTCAGCTGAGAACTGAATATCCCATGAACTGCCACAAGAACAAACAGATATGTCCTGGAGAAAGTGCAGCCAGAGTGCTGCTTGGAGGCAAAGATGATGAAGCTTTTTCTCACATACTTTGGGCAGGTTGCTAGGAGAGGCTATTCCTTGCAGAGGGACATCATGTTTGGGAAGGCAGAGGGTTGGAGAAAGAGAGGATGACCCTCAACGAGATGGACTGAAAGTGACTGCAGCAACGAGTTCAAGCGTCAGATAATGACAAGGACACAGGAGAGGACAGAATTAAGGTCTGTTGTTCACAGAACCGCTATGAGGGGCACTCAACTTGACAGCATCAAAAACCAATCATTCATTTAGTGAGATTGTGTGACAGGTGTTCACTGAGTGATCCACTTCTTAGCCTGGCAGACTGCTCCCCACGTCCACTACCTGGATATCACCTAATTTGAGAGATCAGAGCCCACGAGATCCAGTGATTCCTACCCACAGGACACCAGATGGAGAGAAGGTTGTCTGGGCTTAAAAGCGCGGTTTGCACTGACTATAGAGAACTCCTGCTGAGGTCGGGCACCTGAACAGAAGGTGGTCGGTCCGGGAACGGAGGAAATGCCATGGGGGTGCCGGGAGAAGGAGGAAGGGAGGCAGCCCCGAGTGCCAGGGGAAGAAGAGGAAGGGGCTGGGCTGCAGCGCAGAGCTGCCAGGAAGAGCGATACCTTCAGGATCCCCCTCATCTTCGCCAAGAAGGGGCGGAACTCCTCGGGCGGCACCTCCGGGTAGAGCTGGCTCCGCAGCAGCTCCTCCGTGATGCCCGGGTGTCCGTGGAAAGTGTCCTGGGCCAGGCCGTTCAGCAGCCCGCTCAGAGGCTTGGTACCCTCCAGCTCGCCAGCCATGCTCCGCGAGGCCACGCCCACCACGCCCGGGAACACACCCCCCGGCTACGGCGGCCGAGAGCGGCCCGAAAACCCTGCAGGGCCTAGACACACGCGAGCCACAGATACACTTACTGAAGAAATCAAAGACAACACACACGCTTCAATACGAGGTGGGTGTGGGGGGTGTGGGGGGGTTGTTTTTTGGCTTTTTTTACTGAGTTGTTTTTGTTATGTGCCATCGAGTCGCTTGCGACTCATAGCGACCCTATGTACAAGAGCTCTAAACACCGTTCTATTCTGTGCCAACCTCGCCATCTCAAATGCACTCATTCCCACCACTCCACTTACAGAATCGATCCATCTCATGGAGGGTCTTCCTCTCCTGCGCTGTCCCCTCCACTCTCCAGAACATGATGTCCCTCTCCAAGGATCAGTCCCTCCTTGCAACATGCCCAAAGTATGTCAGATCAAGCTTCAGCATCCTTGACTCCAGGGAACACTCTGGCTTCACTCTCTCCAGGACAAACCTGTTTGTTCTCCTAGCAGTCCATGGTACTTTCAACGCTCTTCTCCAGCACCACGGCTCAAAGGCATCAATTCTCTTTCTATCATCCCTATTCACTGTCCAACTCTCTGATGCATAGCACATAATTGTGAAGACTATAGCCCGGATCAGGCGCACCTTAGTCTCCAGCCTGCCATCGTTGCTCTTCAGTACTCTTGAGCGGTCTCTCACAGCTGACTTTCCCAATGCAATTCGTCTTTCCTGGCTGCTGTTACCAAAAGTGTTGACTGTGGAAGCAAGTAAACTAAAACTGTTAACTATCTCAATCTCTTCACCATCCATACTGATGCTGCCAATCGGCCCAGTGCTGAGAATTTTTGTTTTCTTGATGTTGAGCTTCAATCCATATAGGAGGCTGCAGACCTTGACCTTCTGCAGCAAGCGCTTCAGGTCCTCCTCAGTTTCAGCAAACAGGGTTGTGTCATCTGCATAATGCAGGTTGTTGATGATTCTCCCACCAATCCTGATGCCACATTCCTCCTCATACAGCCCAGCGTCTCGGATGATCTGTTCTGCATACAGATTGAAAAGAAGTAAATAGAATTTTTTTCATTTTTTATTTATGTAAATTTATTATTGCAAATTTATTTATTTATTGATATTTTAACAAAAGTTTACAGAAAACTTGGATTTTCATTCATTCACTGCTGCACATTTTCCTCCCTAACCGCCTCCTGACAGTTTGCTTTCCTCTTTAAAAAGATTCTTTCATTGTTGCACAATTTCCTCCCTCCCTCCACAACCCCCAGTCTACTTTGCTCTGCACCTCTTATTCTGCACTGTTGTCGGGTGCCTCTTAACATCAAGAAAACAAAAGGCTTCATCACTAGACCAATAGGCAACACGATCATAAATGGAGAAAAGATTGAGATTACCAATGATTTCATTTCACTTGGATCGACAATCAACACCCACAGGAGCAGAAATCAAGACATGCTGCATTGGAGAAATCTGCTGCCAGGAACCCTTTAAAATGCTAAAACGTAACAACGTTATTTTAGAGACTAAATGTGATAATGGTTACCCATGGTGGACAGTGTTTGGTGGAGCTCCCCCATTAAAACAAGCATGGAAGCAGGAGTAGCAACCACTTCTGAAATAGCTTGCCCCCGGAAACTCTATGAACCTGGAGAAAGGATGAAAGTTAGACAATTGTTCAGGTCTTTCACTCATAGGGTCACTATGAGTCGTCTATGACTCAACAGCACTTAACAGCAACAACAACAATGTGCCTTATCCATACCATGGCATTTTCACTTGGATAATAAATAAGGATGACAGAAGAAGAAAAGGGAAGGAAAAAAGAGGTCTAGATGGATGCTTACATCTCAACTTCTCAACTCGGCACTGCTTTGCACATCCCCGTTGGGTCACCACCACAGAAACCCTAAAGACAATTCCTCAAGTGAAGCAATTCCTCCCAGAAAGGAATTTTGCCGAACTATCAAGTACCTGGGATGGAAGTTTGCCCAAAAGATGTTTGAAAAAGTGAGGACACTGATCTATGCTAAGCACTACCAGAAAATACTGAGAAACAGATGTCTGGAACTGAGATTTGAAAGGTGGGGCTCACAAGGAAAGCTGGGCGACCTGCACAACCCGAGGGGCATTCATTATGAGGATCAGTGGTGTGAGCCCATATCTCAATGTGGTGCAACGTCTTCCCTTCCTCAGAACTTCAAGGGCACCTTTGTTAAGTTCAACAAAGCTTAAACTGACATGCTGAGGGCTGTGGGAGTGCACAAACCTGAAGTCAATCCATGAACAGAGCTAAAATGCCTGATTATGGAAAAATCAGTAAGTAGCATATGGCTCTGACAGAGGACAGTTTGATTGCATTGAGGATATGAGCTCTAACTGCATTAATTCTTCTGTCATCCCATTCATTGTCCAGCTCTCAGATGCATAGCAAGTGACTGAAAATACCAAGTTCTGAATCAAACGCACCTTAATCTTCAAACTAACATCATTGCTCTTGAGTAGTTTGGAGAAGTTTCCCACTTTCCTAGTACAGTCTGTCTCCTACTTTCTTGACTGCTGGTACCAAGTGTATTGGATCCAAGTAAGATGAAGTCATTGACTGTCTCAATCTTTTCTCCTTCTATCACTTAACATCCAGTGGTGAGAATTTTGGGGTTTTGTTGTGTTGGGGTTTTTTTTTTAGTTTTTGCTTTATTGACACTGAGTTGCAATCCATACAGAAGGCTACAGTATTTGATCTGTAGCAAGTGATTCAAGTTCTCCTTTCAGCAAACAGGGTTGTGTCATCTGAAAAACAAAGGGAAAAGATGTTGAAGAACTAGACAAAAGATTTCAAAGGGCAACTAAAGAATACAAAGAAACTATTTTAACAGAATATGTGGGCAGAGAGGAGAACTTGCTAGTCATTTTTCAAGTTGAAAGAACTGAACAACAAATTCAAGTCTCAAGTAGTAGCAATATTCAGAGATGCGATGGGAAAATTTTTGAATGATCCAGGAAGCATCAAAAGAAGATGCAAGGGAATACACAAAATCACTGTACCAAAAAGAACTGGTGTATACTGCAATATTTCAGGAAATACCAAATGACCAAGAACCAATAGTACAAAAGGAAGACGTTTGAGCTATACTGAAGGCATTGGTAAAAAAATAAAGTCCCAGGAGTCAATGGGACACCAGCTGATACATTTCACATAACAGATACAGCCCTGGACATGTGTGGCAGACCGAGGGTAAAGTATTTTTATAATTATTAATAATGAGACAGACTACCAGGAATGATATAGAACAGAGAGCGTGAAAAACAGGGGGCCAGCAGTTCCCATGACTGAAGGCCTCAAGCCATGCCTCTCTGGGTATTTATTGAGAATCATAAGAAAGGTAAACAAAGTAAAATCATAAGGAAGTACAAAACAAAAACAAGGGATCATGGGGAAGTCTTTTGCAGACAAGTCCAAGTTCCTCTTTATGCTTACCTCAGGAGGGCAGGATTCTGTTAATACAAACGGAGAACAATGTTGACTCTTAGGGAATGCCTTACTGTCACAGGGTCACCTTCAGCTTGTGTTAAGCCTTCCTTTTATCCTGATATAGCATTTGGTTTATTATTAATATTAAATTTTCTATTCAGCTTCCCTCGGACATGCTCACCAGTCTACAACCAGGAAATGTGAGGAATAGCTGTCTGGCCAAACTGCTGGAAAAGAGTCATATTTGTTTCCATTCCCAAGAAAGATGATCCAACAGAATGTGGGAATTATCTAATAGTATCATTAATAACACAAGCAAGCAAAATACTGCTGAAGATCATTCAAAAATGGCTACAACAGTACATAGAGAACTGCCAGAAGTTCAAGCTAGATTTAGAAGAGGCAACAGAGGTATCACTGCTGATGTTAGATCCTGGATGAAAGCATACTAGCAGAATGTCTGGCTGTGTTTTATTGACTATGGAAAGGCGTTTGACTGTGTGGATCATGACAAATTATGGCTAATGTTGAGAAGAACGGAAATTCCAGAACACTTATTTGTGCTCATGTAAAACCTATACCTCTGCTGTGCAAACAGAGCAAGGGAGCACTGTTGTTGTTGTTGTTGTTGTTGTTGTTATGTGCCATTGAGTCACTTGCGACTCATAACGACCCTATGCACAACAGCCCTAAACTCTGCTCTGTCTTGTGCCAATCATACTGTCTCCAATACACCCAATCTGATTACCCCAGTCACTGAATCAATCCACCTCAAAGAGGGCCTTCCCCTCCTGTGCTTGCCCTCCACCTTCCCAAGCATGATGTCCCTCTCCAAGGACCAGTCTCTCCTCACAACATGTTCAAAGTATGTTTGATGAAGCCTCAGAATCTTGCCTCCAGGGAGAAGCCCGGTTTAACCCTATCCAGGATCAATCTGTTTGTTTTCCTAGCAGTCCATGGTACCCTCAATACTCTTCTCCAGCACCACAGCTCAAAGGCATCAATTCTCCTTCTATCCTCCTTAGTCACTATGCAACTCTCTGATGCATAAGAAATTATAGCAAAGACCATGGCCTGTATCAGATGCACATTAGTCTCCAGAGAGACACTGTTGCTCTTCAGTACTTTGGAGAGGTCCCTAACAGCAGACTTTCCCATCGCAATACGTCTTTTAATTTCCTGGCTACTGGCGTTGACTGTGGAGCCAAGCAAACTAAAGCTGTGAACAATCTCAATCTCTTCACCATCCATGCTGATGCTGCCAATTGGTCCAGTGGTGAGAATCTTTGTCATCTTGTTTTGAGCCTCAATCCATATTAGAGACCGCAGTCCTTGACCCTCTGAAGCAAGCGCTTCAGGTCCTCCTCAGTTTCAGCAAGCAGGGTTGTGTCATCTTCATAACACAAATTGTTGATAGATCTTCCACCAATTCTGATGCCCCACTTCTCCTCCTAGAGCCCAGCCTCCCGGATAATCTGTTCTGCATACAGGTTGAAAAGGTAT